TGGCTTCTCACCTTCTTTCTCCCAGCATTCAGTTTAGTTTTCCCCACCTAGTTCTGTTCTACCCTATCAGGTCAATCCAGTTTCTTTATTAACCAATGGTATTCACAGCATACAGAGGGGAATCCCACATCACCCTACCTTTTACTTAATTTATACATCATTACAGCAATAAAGAATATAAAAAGATGCTGAAGCTTCTGAGAATGCCTATATCCTTATTTAATAAATATAGTTAATGAAAACTTTTCCAATAGTTTTTTTTATCTTCTATCAGGTTTATCTGGGGGGAAATACAACATACTGTTTTTTCAGCTTCTGACAGAAATGCCTACTTTAAGAAATGGTCTAGAGAGACAAAGTATCTGGGTTCCTACCTAGACTCTGATTCTTATTGTCTACGTGACCATAAGCAAGCTACTAAGCGAACTTGCCGAACTTCTACATTCTTTGGTTTCCTAATAGGAAAACCAGGAATGATAATAGTACTTGTCTCCGAACACAGTTTTGAGAATTATGAAGTACCCAGATTGTGCTTAACACATAGTAGATAATAAATAGCACTCATTATCATAAGTTAAACAAAACTCACTAGTAGAAGTAATTTCAAAAAAATTACCAGAATGCACAGCAGTGATTTTAAACATAGGCTCAGCCCCTGCCACTTTCTAAGAAACCAACTTTCTAGATACTTCTGATCTTCAGTGGCTTACAGGTTTTAGTTCTCACTGTGCCGAACACATGTACATGGGTAGGACACTTCAGCAGCCCCACTATTACTGACATGGAGAAAGCCCTGAAATGCTCTTGTCTGTTTGAGTTAGTGATTACAGATAGTGTGGGTGCTACAGACATATAATTCTAGAATTTAAAAAAATAAAAAATAAAAAAAAATAAAAAAATAAAAAAGAGTAGATAAAGCTATCTCTGATTCTCCTCAGAGCATCTCCAAACTGCAGCAACTCTCCTACCCAACTGTCATCCCAGGGAGGTTGCTGCGCTGCTCTGTAGATGATTAGCCTAATTAATCTCAAAATGACTGGAAACAATGCATTTTAGCACTTGCCAGCATAAGGAACTGATTAACTGAACAGTATGAACTTCACGGAAGCTTGAACAAAGAGCACTGTATTCTCAGTTTTCTGATCTCAGCAGAAAACTGCCTTCCTGGCTGGATAGATGCCTTTAAAATACATGAAACAAGTCCTAGGATTTCTGGGTCACTTTCAGACATTAAAAGCTACCGGCTGTGGGTTTAGATAGACGGCATGAGAACCTCAGCTTGATCACCAATGCCTATGTAAACAACCAGGTGAGGTGGTTCTCTTGTAACCCCAGAGCTGAGAAACATTAAGCAGAGAGCTACTGGCCCTAGTAAGAGATCCTATTTCAGACAACACGGTAGACTGGGCTTGAGGAGGAATAAAAACTGAGGTCTTCTGGCCTCCACACATGTGTTCACATGTGAACTGAGCACATATGAACATGTGCCCACCTCCACACACAAAAATATCTACATTCCAATCAGGGCCTTCACCTTTTAAAACCTAAACTGACAGTGCCGGAGAATCCAAATGTCTGCCTCCTGCTACCATCACACATTATTTTTGACTGCTGAGGGAGGCACGGAGTATGGCAATAAACATACATATAAAATGTTTTTTTGCTCCTTCTGTCTTAGAATTTTATTACATTTATTATTACTGTGTCTGTGTGTATACAACTTGTAGGAATAGGGACTCTTTTCCACTCTGTGTGTTTGGGGACTGGTTTCAGGTTATTACTCTTGGTGGCAGGCACCTCCACCCAGGTCCAAGAGAATTTCTTGTAAGCAATAATCCCTAGCTTTGGAAGATCTGCTCACCCGTTTCTCTTTCTGTTCTGGCCCAAGAATGCAGAAGGAGCCCGTACTTTGCTTCGAGCCTTGCTGCTGGTCCTTCTGGAGGACTAAAACCTTAGTTTTGGAGATAGATGGCAGAAGTAGAACTGCTTGTTATAGTTTGTCTAGGGAACTGTCTCAAGCTGTACATAACAGAAGGCTCAGGAGGTGGGCTCTGGCTGGAGGCAGTAGGTTGTTGGAGGCTGGGCCCCGAGGCTATAACCTAGTATACTGTCACCCAGTAACAAGATAAGCTGATATCTCCGACACACCCTGCACCTTCAAGACAAAATAACCTTCTAAGTTGCTTCCCCCAAGTGTACGGCTGCAGAACCAGAATAACTAACTACTATACAATCTTTGCTTTATTCATTTGTTGCTGCTTAAGTCAAGGACTTTCTAAAGGAATGCCTCAGGCAGGGTGATATCTGAAATACTGAACAGATAGGCAGTCAGCGATCAGGAGGGATATGGCCTCCAGGCTAGAATGGGTCTTATAGGGTGGGAAGGGAAGTTGACTCAAGCTCTTCCCCCCCCCCCCCACAGTTGTAAGTATTTTGATCAAGACAGCTGTATGGGTACAATCCAGGTGGTGTCACATTTGCCTCTCGCAGTACTTCAGAGCACCTTGTGCAAAGGCAGCTCCATCATAGTTTTTTCTCTGATGTGACTGCCCCAGGTTCTCCATCTGCCAATCCCTCCCCTATTAGTCTGCAGTGGCATCCTGCTTGATCAAACTAATCTACTTTCTATTTGCTTAGTTTACCCTTGGGTTCCAATATCAAAACTAAGAATAGTGAAAGCCATTCCACATCTCCTTGCTGCCAGCTCCCTTGTTTTGTTTGTGCTTGGTCAGATAAGTAAAAGATGTCACAAAACATTTATGTCTAAAGCATTTCTTGTTTCTCACCAAACCATAAGAATATACTGCTTCCATGTTTCTTTCTTAAACAGTAGAGCTGGCTTCACTTTCATGACAGAGCGGGGTAAGGAATGGAGAATAAGTCCATCTTCAGGAGAGAGAAAAGGCATGGTGTTCCACATATCATCCCTAGGATGATTTAGGAGTTGAGGTGGTGATGAGAGGCCTGTCAAGGTATAGGAGGTGGTCGTAGGAGAAGGGTCCAGTCGAAATCAGAACAACTAGCTTCCTTGACAGTTTTCCCTTTGGAATGTGTAACTTTATATCTGTCTCTATATTTACTTTTCAGAGGTACCAGAAATGACTATACATTATTTGTTAAAGAAAAAAAAAGACTATGAATTACAAGTGGGACAAAAATGGAAGAAAGCATTAATCTACTGATGATCATTGGCCATGCTGGCTCATTTATAGTGCATTTGATGCTTACTTAGCAACTGGAATGCTCTTCTAAAACACACTATTCATGATGTGGCATCAGATTCATGTGGCACAAATAATAACAAAGATCTTGGCAAATGATTTCTCAGCAACTGAGTTTCATCAGAAGCACATATTTTTAGTCAAATGTTGCTAAGTTGATTTTTCTGTAACTGAAATAGGCTTATGTTGGTAATTTTTCCCCTTTAAATTATGACACGAGCATCCAAGCATCTGTTAAGCCATAGCATCTGTTTCATATTTGGGATGCATCCCTACAAATTAGAAGAATGCTTTTTTTCTAATGAGCTTTGATTTAATAAGAAATCCCTCTCATGACTGAAAGGAATTGACAACGCAGATTCCTCTGTAGCAGCACCGCACAGCGAAGCATCTCAGAGGCTCATATGGTACCATCCAAAACGGCTTAATAAAGATAAATGCTATATGGAAAGTTAGTTTGCTTGATATTTGGTGTTGTTCAATACTTTATAGTTTTATATAGGTGTGTACACAAAGAGAAATTATATAACCAGAAAAAGCAGATGGCCCAGACATCCATATTACTCAAAAAAAAAATGGTCTTTTAAGTAAATTATCTTGAGAATCTAGAGTCTGGGAAACTCCAAAGGCACTCTCTTTATTGGCTACATTTGAAGGAGACCTTTACTACTCTCTTTTGGAACCAGTGCCTGCTGTCTTCCGAGTTTTCCTCAGTGTTTCTGGTCTTCGCAGTCTTCTCTTTGGGTCTGGATTTTTTTGCCTAAGAACCATGTCAAGCTTGGCATCTGATGCAATGGATTAGTTCCAGTCTATCTACCTGCTACTGTTTCACGGCCTTATAGTCCTAATTTGTACCTGGCTTGGCTTTTAAAAGCCTAATTTAAAGACATCAATTTAAAGATTTCAAATTCTCATATTTTTATGATAAAATGACAGATGATCTCATTAAGATCAGTAAACTGCCAAGAATTTTATAAAAGAACCATGCCACTCACAAAAGAACTTAGAGGGAGCTCACTGGAAGGAAAGAGGAAAAGTTTAGTATCAGAGTACACCAACTGAGGGTCCTGGTGTTGAAATCCTGCCACACGTTCGCTGTAGGCAGAGTGGTCTCAGCAGGATGGAAATGCTACAATTGACGGGCAACTTCTACACATTCCCCTTGCCAATGGAGTAATAGTGGCGTGTCACATCAAATGTGTGAGTGATACTCTAGAAAACCAGATTTTAGAATATGCCATCTGAAATGTTTCACATACACACAAATCACTCTGACTAAAAGTGATGCATTTTAGAGATTTAGAAGTGAATGCAGAAAGTCAAAGAAAGAAAAAAATAACAAGCTATTTTTAGAGCTCAGGGTGGTCTTATTTAACCTCACTAACCTTAAACTTACTAACCCAAGCGAGACAAAACCAGCAGTGGTGGTGTACTACTTTAATCCCAGCACTCAGGAGGCAGAGGCAGGAGGGTCTTTGTAAGTTCAACGCCAGCCTGGTCTACAAGAGCTAGTTCCAGGACAGGCTCCAAAGCTATACAAGAAATCCTGTCTTGAAAAACAAAAACAAATTTACCCATGAAACAGTTTTTATGATATCCCTGGGCAATCTTTTTCAGTGTTCAACGACTTTTAGTAGCAACATTCACTGACATGAAAGGCAGTCCTCTCACTAGTGGAAACAAATACTTTATGGTCACGGGTGAGACAGCACAGTTTAAAAAACACTATCATCATTATTTTGTGATTTCTACATCTGCAGATCTTAACTTATGACTTGCCTCTGCCAGCTGAAAGAGTGCAGAATTCCCACAGCGTTTCACGGGCTCAGCGCCACCCAATTGTGAAGTACTTGAAGAAATCTACAAAGAAAACAATCACATAAGCATATTAATTTTGATATCAAAATCTTTGCTTTCATATATATACAGGAATTTTCTTAATTTTGCAGGACTAACACTACTCCTAACTACCAAACTGCTTTAACTAGATCAAATCTGGAATAATCATTTTGAGAGTCTTTTGAGCTGCTCAAAAATAGGTGCTGCTTTGATGGACATATAATGACAAGAATATTATCCTTCACATTCCCAGCTCTATATTTAACATTAGTATGATATGCATGTTAATTTCTACTTAAGAACTAACTCATCAATTGGCTAAGTAGAAAGACATATAGAACTATTTTCCATTTACTAATCAATTAAAAGAAATATGTGGGTTCTCTATAGGAAGAATTCATGTGATAGGTAATATGACAGGAGCAAGAGGAGGATAAGAATTTTATATAAAATACTGACTGCCTTAGAACACCATGAAGAAACTGCATTCAAAGACTAATAATGAACCTAGAACCTATGGGGTACAGTCACCTGCCCGTACTATGTGGGTTGCACCAGCATACATGATATTATACTAACTGCAAACTTTTTTACAAATTTAGCTAAGTTGTGTCTGGGCAATATAATAAGTGAACAACACTGTTATTTTCATATGAAAACTTCATTTTCAATTTTTAACCTCAGTAAGAGTTGGAAAAGAGATCTATCTACAATCAGAAGGACCTGCATTCCTCCCATGGAGAAGTCATCATGGGATCAGGTAGCTATGGCCTAAGCACATTCCATTTCTATGATTCTGAGTTCTTCTCAGTCTATATAAAGTTTTCTCAGTTTGGTTTAGAAGACAATTCGGTTCAGTAACTTGCAGTGACCTAGGTCCCACAGAAAACTGTGTCAGCTCAGGGACAGACCGCACATTGGATGCTCACTGGTTCTCTCTAGAATACCCTGGAACTAGAGCCCTTCATAGGAACACATACTTAATATGTTACCTGAGCTATTTTTTAAAAAGTCTACTTGATGGAAGTGATGAGGAATTTTTCCCTCCTAGATGCTACATTTTTAATAAACTCACTGCAATCACATCTGATTCTACTATAGATAATTTAAGGAGTCTCACTCTTTCTGAAATTTGGAATATTTTCTACTAGTCAAGTTTTCACTGATACATACTACGTCTTAACTATTACTATCAAGTTGAATTTAGTTGTTCGCCCTTCGGTAGACTAAGAAAAAGCTCACATACTATTATTACTGACATTCAGTACCTTAAAGACGGAAACACTGAATGTAAATGTCAGTCTCCTGAACTGGGGTCATATAATGTAGGAGTCATGGCTTCTGAGTCAGCCAGACTTCATTACTTTTTGCTATGTAGATTTAAGCAAATAATCAAAACTCTGAGCCTCATTTATTTTCCCTTTAAAATACAAGAAAGCTTGCCCAGTATTATAAAACTGTAGAGATTAGATTTCATAGTGGGGACCAGCAGGGTTCTGAGGCCACAGTTCATTTCAATAGTCAGTGTAACAATCAACACTTGATTTATCATGATCACCAACAAATATAAACACTTTAGTGCCATTCCAAAAAACGGTTATACAATGAAATTGAACAGTTTATAGAGATGAAATGTCCAAGGATACAATTTATTAAATTTCATAATGTGCAGACTATCAACTTTGTTGTGTGAGCAAATGTCACCAAGAGACAACAAACACAACGGGAAGGGCTGCACTACCCAAGTCTATCTCAGGACTTCTTCCTCCAGCTCCCTCTGCTGTTCCTTTTGTTACAGTTTCATCCCTTGACTGCACTTCATCTTTGCTGAATCTGTTGCCTCCTGCAGTATAGGTCACACTAAGGGGTCCCCTGCCCTGTGTGAATGCACTGCTCAGTAGTAGGCGTGAAGTGGTTTCTGACACAGTAGGACAGCTCCCTGATTTTTCTAAATCTCTGAGAAGATATTCACCTAGTCACAGCTACATGACAATATATAAAATATTCAAAGTTGCTTAAAAGTCTGATTTCTGTTTTTTCTTTTATTTATTTTTATTTTGTTCTGATTTTGGTTTTTCAAGACAGGGTTTCTCTGTGTAGTTTTGAAGCCTGTCCTGGAACTAGTTCTTGTAGACCAGGCTGGCCTCAAACTCACGGAGATCCACCTGCCTCTGCCACCCAAGTGCTAGGATTAAAGACGTGTGCCACCATCACCTGGCAAAAGCCTGATTTCTAAAGGTGCAGGTGTGTGAGAGGTTCATGCTTCCAAATTCTCTTGACAAAAATCTCATGGAATGATTTACTATGTTCCCTGAGCATTTTTTAAAAAATACCTCATTTCCCTTTTTATTTTGTTTTATTTTGGAGAGGGAAGTATTTTTTCAGAGGTGGGGAGAAGACTGGACATATACTAATTTAGCCTCTGTCTAGATTTCTCTGCAGTACCTGACATGCTGATCTCTCCTTTGGCAAATTCCTCTCAGGGCTTCGATTACTGGAGATGGACCTCTAAAGCCATTCTTTGTTAATCTCTGCTGGCTTCTTTCTACACTGATCCTATTAAATAATAGTTTTTCTCAGAGTTTTCTTCTAGGGCCCACTCCCTTTTTATGTTATACATTTTATTTTAATAATTTCATCTGTTATGATGGCTTTGGTTTCAAGAATAAGCAATATAATGTTAATCTGTCATTTTGTTACTGTTCACTTCTGCTAAAAATTTTCAATGTAAGGGACATATGTTTCCATTTAAGTAAAAACAATACCATCAATGTCTGTTTTCCAATGACTAGCCTACAAGCTGCTTCCTTCCCATCAGTGTGATTGCAACTCTCGTAGCTAGAGAGTACTGTATACTATGCTAGTGACTGTGAATTCTATTTTGCTCAACATGTATGGTGTTTGCCAATCTGATAATGCTATTGTTTTAACTATTATGCAATTCAGATAAACAGTATCCATTCATAAAGGATAGAAAGAGGGTACAATAGTAAGTAAATAGGTGAAATAAGATCTGAGATGCAAAAAAAAATGTTAGGAAAAATTATCACTCTGGATGTTAGAGTCCTCATTTTATGTTTCCGTTTGTGCATGAGTATACAAGGTGTTAAGATCAGAGTAAAATTAGGAGATAGTGAAATCTTTTGCAATTATAATGCATTATAGACACTAGTCTGAAAGAAAATGAATAAGTATTACACAAATAAACCAAAAAACAAGTAGACATATGAGGATAGCTGGTATTGCTTACTTCAGGGAACCCTGATTGCTCTTCGAGCAGATGAGGGAGGGGGACTTGATCGGGGGAGGGGGAGGGAAATGGGAAGCGGTTGCGGGGAGGAGGCAGAAATCCTTAATAAATAAATGAAAAAAAAGAAATATTAATGCCTCCAAAAACCCCACAGTATGTTCTGTGATTATTTGTAGTGAAGTATATGGCATTTTTATGGAAATGCAATATTTTGTAATATATTAAGTATTCAATCATGAAAATGAATGCTCTAAATTTGAACCTATGACTTGTATCCTATTGAGACAGAACCTTAAATTTGGTATGATGATAACTCTACTTATACTGGCAGGGTAAATACTTTCTAAGGAAAGGTTTAATGTCCAAATCAATTAGTCTAAATCAAATAGATTGGTTTGTCTTTTTAGTAAGTATGTTAGTTTTCAATGCAAAGGTGTATATTAGGTTGAAGAGCCAGCCACGTATCAGACAGAGAATGTGTGCACTGTCCATGGCTTTTAGACCTATTAAATAATGGAAAACAATAGCTCCCTTCTGACATTATATTCCGCCATCAGTCTTCAGGACCTAGATCTAAAGTAAGTGATGTGGCACTTTACCTTTGAACATCAACAATGCCAATAGGGAACTCATTTTGATCAACTGAATACATCAGAGCTTAGAATCACAGAGGGAGGGGTGAATCTAGATGAAACATGAGCAACAAAATGAAGAGACTAACAATGGGAGCAAGCAATCTTTACACTGTATTTCTTTCTAGGACTTATAAAGCACGAATATTATTTTTCTTCTTTAATATAAACATTCACAAGGAACCTATTAAAAAGAAAGAAGTGCTTTACTGAGCCATGGTTCAATGAAGGTTAATTTCAACAGGTTTTACAGTGATTACACTTGGTTAAAAAAATGGGGAAAAAGTCCTCCTTAGTGTTCAATGCAGAAATCCAAAGCTTGTAGAAAAGAAAAAAAAGAAAAGAAACACAAAAAACCATTTCAACTTAAGGAAATAGCCAGAGCCTTTAACAAGCATTTTCTTTGCTAATTATATTTTACAATAAATAACCCATTTCTAAGAGAACACATAGTTAAATGCCTCTAAAGATTTTATAAATGAAATTAGCAAGATGCTTTCTAGGAATACTTTGTGTCCAATCTTATAAATATTTTAAAAATTAAACACTTTTACAGAGCTAAATGTTTCCTAAATATATAAACACTGATTCCCTTCTTAAGTAGGTAACAATAGGAGTGAGAACACCTCAGAAAATATAAATGGTAATTTTCATTCAAACACTATGCCCTTCCTGTTTCCACCCTTACTTCATAAAACAATAGATATGAGAAAGTTCACTAACAGTAACACTAAGACACTGCAAGTCATAGCAACTGGAGAATAGCAGCCTTAAGATGTGGTTTCTGAAAAGAATCTTGCTGCAGGTGGAAGTTCTCAGACTATGTGAATCAGAAGTATTAGGAGTAGAGTCTAGGAATCTTTGTGTTTCAACAAGCCTTATGGGAAACAATGACTTATTTTAAAGCATGAAAACTTTTGTTATGGACTAATCAGGACAATAAAAGATGATGCTATTTTGTGAAATAATTATAAAAACAAGAGGGACATATCATCACTGTGATTACAGCCTACTCTACTTCTACTACAATATATGTGTTTATCACAGATTTCAGCAGACAACTTTTATTAGTTCCTTTAGTTAACTCTGATTTAGCCTATGTGAGACGGCTTACAACTAGGCTAACAGTATAGTCAGACGCTAAAAATCTAGACTGAAACTTAGTATTCTCATCCATCACAAGGAGAAGGACTAGACCTGTTATGAATCTACATAAGGACAGACTTCTCTTATGTAAAGCAGATGTAGCACATACTGTTAAATAACTCCAAGTGCCACGCTTTAATTTGCTCAAAAATTAAAATGGCTTATATTACCATCTTATGCAAAATATAAGAAGATCAGTTCCCTGGGGCTTGAAGTGGGAAGAAGACTGCATCAGATTTGGGGTATAGCAGAAGTTGTGTTTGCTTACATTATCCAGGCGGGGTTATCCATCATGCATGACTTATGCTACAATCCCCTGAAACAGCTCCTGCTAAATTTTCAAATTAACAATCTTAAGCTTCCTGAAATCCCACAGATGCTTTGTGTCAACTGAAAGACTTTGGGGATGAATGCTGCTAAGCAGCACTGTGACCTCTAGCGATGCATCCCTGAAGACTCAGTAGTAACTTTTTTGTTCTGTGTGGGAAAAACAGTACAATTGAGAGGCAAGGACCAAATTTTGTCATTTGATGGGGGAGTGCACTAAGTACAAATTGCTTCCTTTAGGAGATTCACTGATTTCATTCTTCAGAATCACAGGACAGTGGCCCTTACAACTATCGGTTTTATCCTTCAACACTGACCCTGGTTTTCAGAGGCTGCTAATGGATCTGATGATGGTATCTTGTAAGTATCACTTAATCATGCAGTTAGGCACACACACATTTAGTCAAGATCTTCCACAATGGCACTTCATATTAAGTAGACTACTTCTGGAAATTAATATGTGAATATCAGGTATATCAAAGATGAGCCACCACACCCTTCTAATTCATGCTACAGGGTGAAGACTTTGATTGGGCATAATATAGAGCAAACAAATCTATCTTTTATGAAATGCTTCAGAAAAACTTGATGGGAATGGTTTAGATATTAAAAATAAATTCAGTCAACACACCGTCATTCTTTTAAACTTTTGAAAAATATTTAGCTGCAATAGATGGGTATCAATAACTGGAAAAGAGTGAGGAAATGATATTAAACAAAACAATTTTTCCCCAGACAATGAAAACAACAGTCTGCTTATCAGAATGGAAAATTATAATGAAATATTAATGTGCTCAGACTCGTCAAACAAATTGTTCTCCATGAAATAATACTTTGCATTTGTTATTAGTCTGATAGAATAGTCCTCAGCAACGAAAGCAGCTACTATAGCAGAGTGGCCTGCTATGAGTCTCAGAAGTGTCCCGAGATGAAGAAGCTTTTTTTCCCCCTTAATATAAGAGTTGAAAGTAATTTTTTCTCATTTTCAAAGTGAAATGCTAGGTTTTCCCTTGCCAAAAGGATATCATTTTACATTTCATATACTCAGCGCTCCTTACTCATATGAATCAGTGATTTGATACATCAATATTAAACAGAACAGTCTTGCCTATCATTTTCTCTCGATTCTATAAAACATTACTTAGATTCTGATAACGCATTTTTCTTGGAATGAAAAGTACAAGGACCTAAAGCAGACAGGATGCTTTTTCGTGATCTGTGTCCATCTTACTATTTGTCATAGAGCTCTCTAGGGACGAGCACACGGCTGAGGCAAACCAAGCACATCAATCACTAAATAGTGTTTGGTGTGTGCTATCTGGATGACAAGCTGACGAAACTGGAGATCCAGCAAAAACTGACCTGAGCAGAGCCAAGGATTAGACTCCAATAATAAAATACCGGCTGCAGCTACATCTGGTGGAAAGCCACATAGTGACAATTTAACAAGTCATATTCAACACTGTATTTGCTTTGAGAAAGTTATTCCTCAATTACAGCATCTAAATTTGCTACTGGAAACAATTAACTGGAATCTTGTGGCAATCATATTGACAGCAGGTTTTTTTTTTTGGTTGCTTTTTTTAAAGATTAAAGTAAATTAAGAAGGTAAAATGAAATAAATGAATCACTAGTGACCGCTGTGAATGAACTCTAATGAATGCTTTTAAAATGGTTATGAAATCCAGAGCTGAGTTGACTATGATTACGCCAATGGCAAAAAAAAAAAAGGCCATAAATACTCTGTATATTATGCTAGTAATGGAAGGGGCATGCCTAAAGTCCAACATAAAGCATTAGGATTCCTTTCATCATTTCCTAAGATGAACATGATTTCTGAACACAATAGTCATAAAGAAACGAAGGCTTTACCTCTGCAAACTGAAACAAAGCTGATGTTTGACACTGTTTTGAAGGACCCTCAGGTTGGGATGTCCTTGAAGATATCTAAAAGGAAACAAGACGTGCTTACTGTTTGAGGATACTTTACTACATATACCACTAGACTCTGCCATGTATTTCAATGTAGATTCAGAAGTGAGTCGTCATTCTAAATCCCTCTTAAAAGATGAATACAAATGATACAGGAAGACAATGGTTGTAAAGAACAAAGAGTCCGGCTCATTTTGAAAGATGAACCTAACGAGAATATCAACTGTATATCAAGCAGCAACATTAAACAGAGTCAGATGAATTTCTTCATTTCAATTATTTTTTTTAAAGATAGCATTATTAAAGCCAGACATGATGGTATATGGCTTTAATCCCAGCACTAAGGAGACAGAGGCAGGAAAATCTGAGTTCAAGTCTATAGAGTGAGTTCCAAAACAGTCAGGGCTACAACAGAAAAACCGTCTTAAAACCCCCTCTACTCCACAAAAGAGGGAAAAATACAGTATTAAAAGCTTGAAGCTGTAAGTAGATACAGCCATATTCTTCCCTACACCTTCCAAACTACTTTCTGTATAGAAGCATTTCTCAAACAGTATGGTAGAAGCACATGGAAGTAGGGTCTGGGTAACAGGATTTTTAATCTCATTTCCACTTAGCAGGTATATGACCTCAGTTAAACTTCCCAAGACTTACTTTTTCCAACTGTATATTAGTGATGGTGATCGTGCCTATTTTATAGAATTATGATGAGAAACAAATATTCCTAAAAATGTATTGTCTGGCATAGACCAAGACATAACTGTTTAAATACAAAAGTATTTCCTTCTCTGTGTGTAGACATGCATGTGCACATGCATGTAGGGGACAAAAGTTGACATTGGTTGTCTTTCTCAATCCTTCTCCTCCACATTACTTTTTAAAGCATCTAAAACTGAACCTGAACGGAGCCTGACTGGTCAGCAAACCCACGGATTTTCCTGTCTGTGTCTCCCATAGTTGGCGAGTACTCATGCTTACTTCTCATGCATTTTACCCACGGATCCATTCCCCAGACCTGATCTCCTTCTGTTGTGACATGTGTAGCCTCTCATCAAACAAAACAAACATACTTCAGTGTCTAACAGTGCATAGATGATTCTGCAATACCATATGTTGCTTTGTTTTCACCGAGTAACAGTGATACCCTCAAACTGCTCTGAGGGCTAGAATAAAATATTTTCAAGAATTTTTAAGAACAATTCAGTTATTAATTTTTGTTCCAGAGTGGATAAGGTTCAGTTACAAAGTCGGATGAAGTGAGAGGAAGTGAGCAGAAGCTTGCAGTATTATCATTTCAGCCCACTGTAGTACCTGAAGAGAACATAGACCGTGTTCATACGTCACAGGGTTCTTACTAAGCAGTAAATGCACCCTGATCCCAATTCTTCAACCATAAAAATGACTTTCAGAAAAGCTAGAAAACATTATGGTCACATGTAGGCACAGAATCAAAGGTGATATACAAGAAAGAAAGAAGATTAATAAAAAGGCTGCCTGACTATTGTATTGATACTATTTATTACTGAAGCCACTAGGAAAAATTTAAAGGTACTACATCTTTTGAATTAGAGAAGCTATTTAAAAATAAATATCAACTAGACAAAAAACAGACCATCATAAAAAGATAAAATTTAGCCAAGTGATCTGAAGACATTCTAAGCTGAAAATGAGTAACTTTTCTAGGTTCAGCCCCCAATTCTCTAAGTCCCAGATATCACACTTTGTCCAAGTGTGATAAACTACAAATGCAAAGCTGCAAGAATTTTCCTCAAGTCTTGGGAATTATGAAGTTAGTAGGATTTACTTCCAATAATACTTCTCATTCCAACTATCCATCCATAAAAATTAAGAAAAAAATGAACAATTCATATAAAAGGAAAACCTAACCTATAATGTATTTCTTCAGGAATTGAGTCAGATAGCATACCAAATAGAATCACAATTAAAATCCATTTGGTTTTTTTATGAAAAGCATTTAATGAACGAAAGGATACTCTTATAAACAAAAAGATACTCTTATAAATACATGTTGCTATAAAGTATGATTTTAGCTATTGACGCAAATAGAGTCTACTAAAGAAATGTTAAGAACGTTCATATAAAAGCATACTGACACAGATCTTTTTGGAAACTTCTATATGGTATAGAAGCCTCAACATGCACATACTGTGCTAAAAATCTCAAATACAACTTTATAGAGTTCACTCTATCATTAGGGCTTCACGGACTACTCACTAAGCATATCTGCTTGAAGCTAGGCCCACCCTCAATCAACTTATCTCTAACAGTTGTAAAGGGACCACAGCATGAATTCTTCATTATATTTAGTCCTTGCAAAAATCAATATTCAAAACATTCCAAACTCATTCCGCCCTCAAAGACAGAAGAGAAAGATATATGTTATGAATAAATATATATAACACTCTGGTGATATAAGCAAAGCAGTTAGGAATATTCTCAAAGGACTAGCAGGAGGTACCAATGCAAACAGACAGACATCTGAAAAATATGGTTGTCCTGTACTGAACTGTAGTAGGACAGGAAAACGAAGGAAAATTTAAAGGATCAAGGAAGAACAATTGGCTTAAATATTAGGATTGGAGGGAGAGATGAGAGTTCATACTGAGTTCTAAGATTAATGGAGGTATCTTCAGAAGGAGTTTTAATTTCCGCTTTTGACACGGACATTGAGCTAGCAGCTCTGTCCTATGATGTAAGACTCTGGCAAAGGCAAACTTCACGCTATAATATCATGGCATGGCCTTGTCCTATGACCAGATTGGTGCCTGACCCAACTGTCATCAGAGAAGCATTAGTTAGCAACTGATGGAAGCAAATGTAGTGTTCGGGAATCCTATGGAGGAGGAAGAGAAAGGAGTGTAGGAGCCAGAGGGGTCAAGGATACCATGGGAAGTCTCACACAATTAACTAACCAGGGCTTATAGGGGCTTGCACGGAATAAACCAATAACCAGGTGGCCTGCATGAACTTGACCTAGGCATTCTGCATATATGTTACAGTTGTGTAGCTGGGTCCTCTTATGCGACTCCTAATAGTGGGAAGAGGGCCTATCTCAAACTCTTTTTAATGGCTTTGGGATCCTATTTCTCATACTCAGTTGCCTTGCTATACAGGGAGGAGCTTAGTCTTACTGCAACTTGATATGCCATGCTTTATTGATACTCATGGGAGACTCACCCTTTCCTGGATGGAGATGGAAGAGCAGGGGATTATGGGGTGGGTTGGGGTAATGGGGGAAAGGAATTGAGAGTGGAGGATTTGGGGATGAGGCTGTGGCCAGGATGTAAAATAAATAGATGAATTTTAAAAAGTAAAAAAAAAAAAAAACCAATATCAAGTTAGGAAAGAATCAAGTATAAAACAATAACAATGAAAACAAATAATGCATAGGTAAGAATCCTGAGTTTGTTCAGTCTTTGGATTTACCAATCAATGTGTTGTATGATTTAATAATCATTCTAGTTTAATCATAATAATAATTAGTATGACTTAACAAGCTTCTATAAATATGACTTAACAAGCTTCTATAAATATTTATTTCTCAATTAAAATCTCTAGCCGAGCGATGGTGGCGCATGCCTTTAATCCCAGCACTTGGGAGGCAGAGGCAGGCGGATCTCTGTGAGTTCGAGACCAGCCTGGTCTACAGAGCTAGTTCCAGGACAGGCTCCAAAGCCACAGAGAAACTCCGTCTCGAAAAAATAAAAAAAAATAAAAATAAAATCTCTAGAACGCCACAAGTGGATGTCTGCAATCCTTATAGTTGGCAAATTGAGGCAGGATCCTAAGTTTGATACCAGCCTGGCTATAAGGAGACTGTCTCAAAACCAATCAAACTAAAAGCCCCTGGAGTCCCTTACCTCTTACAGACTTTGATTATATGTTCTTGTCTATAATCAATTGAGCTGAGAAGCGTTCTTTGCTGTTTTCATTTGCTGTCATTAGCCCAAATTTAAACTCGCTTTATAAATGACTCCTTGATTAATTAAGTATAAGATGCAAACATTACCTCAGCAAATTGAAACAATGGTGACTTCTGACGCAACTCAGGTGACTCTGAAATATCAGGCCGGCAAGGCGCAGTGGATGCCTGAAACAAAGTCAGACAGACAGAGTGAGCATCATGACAACAGCAGACGGACAAATGCCACCTAAAGCACTGACAACCTCACCACCTAACAACTGAGGCAACACCTACAAAAACGTAATGGCTGAGTGCGGCCTGAATGGGACACATCTACAACACACTGGGTCCCCAGTTGGTGGTGCAGTTTGGGAAGGCCATGGAAACTTCTAGAGCATAGGGGAGGGTTTATAGACTTGCCCAACTTCCTGTTTACTGTTTCTTGTGTGCAGACAATGATGTTATCAGCTAGCTTCCTGCTCCTGCTGGCATGTCATGCCTTCCTGCCACTATGGATGCTAGCCCTCTGGAACTGTCAGCGAAAATTAAGTTTTCCTACAAGTTGCTTTTGCTCATGATATTTCATCACAGCAACAAAGAATAACTAATACACTTTACAAAATTCTATGCAAGTGACCACTCAAGTGGCAAATAATCGAAGAGCTAGTAGAAACACGGTACCTTCAGAATGTGCACAGAGATTAGCACTTTACTGCTGGCTTTCGGTCACAATCCAGAGAACACCTCCTCCCCTGCACTATGTTGCCTCAATATTTCCTGTTACACGCAACACAAAAACACAAATTCTCTCTGGCAGGATAATTCCAGGAACATAAAACTAAAGTTAAATTCTTATTTTCCAGGGGTTTCACATATTTATAGCATGAGCCCTAATCTAAAGAAGGTTAGGGTCTACCTAAACGTTCTCTTTTAGTAAGATATACTAGCGAACATTTAACATTCTGTTATCATCTTGTTATTTTCACTATTAACAATACTTACTAAAAAAGAAAAAAAGACACCTAAAATTGTATCTTCCCAGGATGCTTCCAAGAATATACATTACCTCATTAATTTTAAGCAAGAAATAAAAATATTTGTATTGGGAAACATAACCATTTTAGTAGTGAATTCTAGTAAAGGAAGATTTCTTTTTTCTGACCTAAGTCTCCCTCTTTTTTATAGATGAAATTAATTTAGGATCACAGAGGTACCTGACACTCACCCTCAGTACTCAATCCCCCTTTATTTAGCTCTCATCATCACAAGGCACACTTGTTTACTGTGAATCCTCTCCCAGGGCCTGTTACTACATTATTTTCCAAACTGCCTAGGCACAGTGTACTAAGAAGTATTTGTAGAATTATACTGAGATCAGTAACAAATGCCTGTGGCACTCAGGAGGTAGAGGCAGGGGAATCAGAAGTTTAAGGTCACCCTTGGATGTATGAGACCCTATTTAAAAAAAAATACTGAAGGAAAAATAAAAATTGAGAAGTATTCTTTTAAGTCCCCAAATCAGTGGGTTTCTCCTACATTCCTGAATAATGAAGTTAGGTTTTTAAGGGATAATCGCTAATTTTTTTCACTTTAAAGGAAAAGGCAACAGAAGTTTTACAAACGCACACACACATACACACAAATATACATCAACATGTGTGTGTGTATTCCCACTCAACTTTTCCACTTGATGGCTGAGGAGGAAGGTATTTTTCTAACAGTGTTACAGGCTATAGAGTAGGAACATGTATTTGAAAATTTTATGGTCACTTTGAATGTTTTAAAGAGCTATGAAGACTCCTCCAGTGATAAGTATCATGGAGAAGTTGCAGAACCCTTAATTAATTTGCCATCTAGGGCAAACTTGCCTCTCTTATCACCACTTGACTATTAAGCATGTTGTGCTAAATGTACTACCAAGTGCACCAAAGATACCAAGCTAAAGACACCAAGCACACTAAAAAGAAAGCCAATAAACCCTCAAATTAGTAGCCACAAAGGTTTGAAAATTTTCTTCTTGCATGGAATGACTAACCAAATTTAAGAATAATAAAGAAACCCTATGCATTTACCTTCTGGATATCTGGGGAAATGAAGTTGATTTAAAAAAATCAAGGCAGAAACTAAAAAAAAATGTAGTGTCTTTATAAAATTCTAATAAAAATATACACAAAACAGAAACCTTAAAAGATATTTGCAGCAAAATACATTATCATTTAGGCAGGTCTCCTGGCACAGATTTGTAATCCTACTAGCTACTTGGGAGGCAGAGGTAGTAGTATATCAAGTTCACGACATGCCTTGGCTGTAGAAAGAGTTCCAGACAGCCTGGCAACTTAATGAGATCCTGCTTTAGGGGAACAAAAAGGTTTAAAACAAGATAAGCAAGCCAACAAAGACCATGGGATGTAGCTCAGTATAACAAAGTTCTGAGAATTGTGTGACATCACAGAGAATATATAGCTATGACATCACTAGTTAATATGATCTTATGGGATGCAATCATACATGCAGCCTGTTGCTGGCTACAATGTCATTACAAATAATACATCAGTGCATTCTTACTTCAGATTCCATGAGGTGGGAGAGGTAATGACTCTTTGAGGAAGAATACTGCCCTGGTAGCTAAAAGTCATATTAACAATAAGAAAATGAAACCTTATCATTTTAAATATATTTTTCACATATTTGGTTGTTTCTCCCCAACCTCAACTCCTCCCAGATTTGTTTACCCACCCACTCAACTTTATGTTCTTTCTCAAACTTCCTCCCACAAACATTTATTTACTTGTAAAATCATTGCAAATCATGAAGTTTAAAAGTTAAACTATTTTCTTTATGAACTTTTGGTATAAATGATTTTATAAAACTAATTGAATGGAAGGCTCATGTGTAAGAAATTATCAAAGTGTGCCTGACCAGGCACAAGAAGGAAGTCTAAGCATGTGTGTTTGTGCTAACCATGCAGCAGACAGAGTAGATGCACAATGATGCTGACTGACTCCATTCTCTTATGTGATCTGGAAGTAAAGTACAAGTCAAGGCTGCCTAGTGGCTAAAGGAGCACAAACAGAACTACTAAACCTGCATTTTGCTCTAGTGGACCATGTCCTTTCTTAAAATGTAGGTATTTGTGAATTAGTGTAGTCAATAAAGCATAAAGGAAACAGCACAAAATTAGGAGCCTGCAGGACTGGGATACTACTAAATTATGTACTTAGTGACTTGGTTACCTGACCCTAGTCAAAGCAGAAGAGAAGCATCATGAAGGTTTAGAGTAGAGACAAAAAGGAAGGGGAAAGAGTTGCAAAAAAAATAATGCCAGGAGCATAGAGGACAGACAGCTCTCCCCAAATTCTCCCTTTGATTTAGATGTAATTCTCAATAAGCAATGAAGGGAAATGATGCAGTTTTTAGGAAAACTAAAGAGCTGATGTAAATGTTTATCTAGAACAAATTAAGGTAGGGTAAATTGCCCATTAAAATTTCATCTGAATGTATATATTCAAAGTAGTAATTTACATTTGTAACCATGATTTCATGTCACCAAGGTAAGTATGAATATCTTACAAACAAAATAAAATTGGATGTGATACACGTTAGGCATTTTTATCTAAAGATTTCAAAATGCAAAAATGATCCTATGATATGGAAAATGTACATATTGTATGAATAGAAAATGCTATACTTATAAAAGGGAAGGTAGATTTCCTACAAAGGGGTCCTATTACAGTCCCAGACCTTATGAAATGTATAAAATGCTATGTAAAACACTCAAATTATTTTTGTTAATTGGAGAATGATTTTAATGGATCACCACTTATTCCTCAGCATCTATTCTTATAAATTAATTTAGAGAAAAAAAATAGGCTATGGTTAAACAAGAAAATATAAATAATTGTTTCTATAAAGTCTCTGCAATAATACATAAAGCCACTAGGTGTTGCTCTATGCCCAGAAAAGAAAATAGTTACAGGGATTTCTGCATAAGTACACATTCAAATCTTCTTACACCCAATCGCCACCCACTTTGATTCAGCTTCAATAATGAAGGAGGGGAAATGATGACTATAATTAAAAATTATGACAAAGTAACATTTTTCCCACAATACCCAATCAGATAGTGAGAGAGATCACAGGTTAGCATGATTGAGCCAGTTATGATTACAAGCGGCTTAGGAAGCTAAGTATTATCAACGGCTGTTCCTACTTTACAAAGCACAAGGGCAGAGCTGCACGCTGCTTGGCACTGTGATGAACACACAGTCGGCAAAGGAGCAACGGCACATTGTAGATCAGCCACATATTCCTACTCTCACCAGTTCAAATGTTTATTTCTCATTCACTTGTTCAATAAACGCTAGGTACCAGCTGTGGGACTTGATGCCATTAGAAAGTTCAAATGCCACTTGCATCCAGTGTACAACTGGGAATAAAATGATGATTTCAGTCTTAGTCTGTTTGCAGTTCAAGGGAAGAGGATAGCTACACTGCAGAAGTAAACAGTGAAAGCATATATTAGAAGGGTCCTTGGGAGCACAGAGAAAAATCCTTTATCGTGTGGGCGGAGGCAGTTAAAAGTAATATCTGAGACGTACTTGGAAAGAAAGGCAGACTCTCCCTCAAAGGAAGAGTGAGAACGACAGCCATGGCAGGTGAGAATGCAGAGGTAAATCTTGGCTGCGCTTCTGAGAAACGGTGACTTTCCCAGTGTGGGTAAAGAATAAGATGCCATACACACATAGTGGGAGATGAATCAGGCTGACAAAAACTGGAATTCTGTTGTCTGGGAATTAGGCTGGAGGAAACAGGGCTGGCCAAGGATTTTGGTTAGAGGAATTGCATGAGGAGAGATATGCAGTTAGATAATTATGGCAGAGGCATGCAGGATAACCATGGCAGGGAGTGACTGGAGGCAGGAGGAGACCAATTAGCAGGTAGGGGAAATAAAGCTGCAGAGATGTAGGGCTCCAATTAAGTCAGAGATAGCACTTGCCAGTCCTCAGTAATTGTCTGGAAGGATGTCAGGGCCTCAGCAGAAGGGCCAGACTACACCTGTATCTTTATAGTAAGGGAAGTGGAGAGAGAAGTGAGAGGAGAAGGAAGCCTCAGTGGGGGCAGAGAATGTATTTCAGGGGATGAGAGGAGTGTGTCTGAATGTCTGTCTGACAATGGCATACGGCACT